ATTCCTAAAGCTATGGTCGCTTGAGCTGTCTCGCCAATGTTATGTATGCAGAACAGAGGGCTGGTTAAAGACAGGACGTGGACTGAGCCAGGGCGAAAGCACAAGGAGGGCGTCTTAGTAGACACGGCGGGATAGTTGGTATGCGGGTCGTAATAATCTTGCCACAGATCTACATGTTTGCAGTCCAGCAACACCTCATTTGAATTGCTAACGTAGAATACCACAGCAACGGCGCGACAGTGGAAGTCTCCTAACTTACTTATTACAGCTTATTTAAAGTAAGCAAAGCGTGTGCAAAACATGCACAAGATAGCCTACAATCGGACCAATCAGATTGTGCTCTAAAGTGGGCAACGGCTTGACTGGTTTGCTGACTCATCCAGCTAGCGAGGTGAAGTCCTAGTCTTGGCCGCAACTTGCGCGTCATTACATGCACTGCATATGAGTGGACGGTGCGGCATTCACCGCGATATCGACACACCCGCCCCACCCACTCATCACCTCGCCATTTCCAAGATAAGGATGCGCCTCTAAGCATGCCGGGAACCTCAAGGTAAATTCTCCCAGGTAGTTTGGATAGTGTTTTGCTAAATTTGCTGGCCAATCACCTACATTATTGTACTTTATCATGACGCCTTCTATACTGGCATTACTACGTATGATTACTAGTAATAGTATCAATAATATTGATAATTGAATATCAGCTCCCAGGCAACAGCAGTCTTGTTACCCGCTATCTGTTGTCGTTTCTATTTCTGCTGTTGTTCTTGTGGCTAGTGCTACTAGTACTACTAATCGCAGTCATAAGCACGATAGCTGCACCTTCACCCTAGCTCCTAGCATAAATACAAGCTCATTTATCGAAAGCTTTAAGCACTTCCTGAAGATCCTGTGAAGGATCCTGTGAAGCTGTGTTCAAGTTCACGTTGTTCTTTCCTCTCCTCTCTCCTTCTATTCTTTTTCTTCCTCTTCTTCTTCTCCTACTTCTCATGAAAAACCTGTTCTACAATGCTCACCTCCAACCTTTTTTTTCCTTTTTAGCACTGCCAGCTGACGCACTTACCAGACACACCACAAACCCAGTGTGTGTTGCCTGTGAAGTGGCTGATGAGTGACACTAGAAGTCAGGGGCACCGGCTCCTCCTAATCCTCTATTTATTTGAATCCTCACGTGTTTCAAGGGGGCCAGGTCGTGCTGAGGCGCGCGGCAGACGCCACTGCAATCTGCTGATAAGATGCACAAGCGAGTGCTCTTTACTGTGACTGTAAATCTGGCAAACATGTTGTTTTTTGCTGTTTTTTTCAGCATGTGGAAGTCCTTATCAAAGGGGACATTACGACGACGACGACTTGCATTGCGCGGTTATCTTGAAGATTTACGTCGAATCGAGCATTGTCCACCGATAAGGTTTTCAGGGCCCTTTTTGCCGATGAAGTGACAGATCGGCTAGGTTTTCATAGGCGCTTGGTACACCAAACATCATTCCAAGACTTGGACCTCTATCCAATTTTCGCTGGTAAGAACAAACCTTTTCTGCTATGAAAATCTTCAACGCAGAGGCACTAGAACAGCGGTGCCGCGTTCTCAATGTTGACAGGACGGACATACGTAAGGCATTAAAACTTGCATTCAAACGTTCCCACGATCGGCATCAGCGGCATAGTCGGCGGTATTCGTAGTCTACGATCCGAATTAGTGAGTCGACTTATCCACTTAACCTTGTCACACGCTGTTACGTTAATTTTGGTTACCTACGTACTCATTTCCTAATTTCCATCTTTTAGATGTAACCCGAAATCATGATGACGACGATGCGCCAGGGCAGTACGGACTAGCAGCGTCATCCATGAACTCTACACTGCTGCGTTCTGGTAGCCAAGAATTCTAAACACCGGCCAAAGAGAACGTTTTTTTATTATTTTTGTACCCTAATATTTTTAAGCCCGTTTTAAATATTAATATGTACATTTTACAAAACAAACAGTCTTAAAAAGTAATATTTCACTCTGCTTCAAAAAATTGGGGTTTTCGCAGAAGAGGAGGTAACCCCTGTCCGGATGAAAAATGACACTCGTTTTTTCGAGCTACAAGCACGATACTGTGAGCTCGCTTGGAGCTCTTTTTTCCGAACTCGTTTCGAGCTCGAACAGGCGGCCAAAAACATTTCGATTGGAGCTCGTTTTGCTATTAGGGACGCGTCTGTCGGCACCGTCATCCAATGCGCGCATCCCATTTCAAGCGACCGACCAGCTAGGCGGTGGTTTGTTGCTGGCGGTGCGGGAGAGAATGTGGTCAATCATCAGTGTGTGTGTGTGTGTGCGTGTGTTTGGCGCTCCCCTGTAAGAGGGAGCCTACATAGCGAAGTGTGCTGTTGGTACGCGTATTGAGTTTTGGTGGCGTCAGCCGCCTGCGCCCTCCCCCATCTGCGGTCTTATTGAATTTTGTATGCACATCGGACCCAGGTGTGGGAGTGGTCAGAGGGTGCGGTAGATCCGACGAGTCTGCTTTCACTATAATCCAGCTGTAAGCATCGCGTCGGCCTTCAGCTTGCTGACACTCGTGGTGGTCATAGTCGAGAGCAACGGTCAAAATGTCGGTAGGCGTAGGAGCAAGTCGTTAGTGCAGATTACGGGCGGGTTGGTTAGGCTGAGTCCTAACAAGGGTG